GTAAATTGGTAGAATTCTTCTTCGAATATGAACCCTAGGAGGTGTTGATGTTCCTCCTTGATGGGAACGTGAAAATAACCTTTCTTTAGGTCTATTTTGCATGCCCACATTCCTTTGCATAGGAATTTCATGATTTTCTGCACTGATTCCATTTTGAAGGAATCTGGATCTATTCCATCGTTGACCTTTCTTAGATCCAAAATGAATCTGAATTGGTCTGACCCTTTCTTTGGAACTACGTTTATAGGGTTGATAACGATGTTTGGGGAGTGAACAATTACTCCTTCTTTCAACATGGAACCAATCTCTTTTTGGATCCATTGTTTCTCTGTAGTAGAGAATTTCCTCTGATGGTAATTTTTCCAACGATTTGAATCGGAATCTATTGGAATTCCGTTTTGAATCCAATCGTGAATCGTGTTGGAAACACCGAATTCTTGCCATCGGCTGTGAAAACGAGAGAGACGACCACCAAGAGGAATGTTGGCATCATTTATTGTTGTTGTTTGAGTTGGAGGAATTTGAAGCGGTTCCACTTGCTTGGTGAGCATTGTTGAATCTTCTGAAGCCTTGATTGTTGGATTGGTAACTATTACCTTGTCCTTGGTTGAAGTTGTTGTTGTTGTGGTTGTTGTTGTTGTAGTTGTTGTAACCAGCTTGTCTATTATCGTATCTAGTGGGGAACTTACGAAAATTAGGGGTTCTGCTTGCCCATTTGCTGACTTTTTCAATGGTTTCTGCTGCTTTTACTTTTTCAGCAGATTTAATCGCCTTCTCTTGTTGTTTGGAGGTGATTTGGTCAAGTGAACCTCCTGATTTGTAGCTGTTAGAGAAGTTTTCAGCTGCTTCAAAGCCATTTTTAATGCCCATTCGAATACAGACTAGATTTAACTCAGAAATATTCTGAATAAATTCAAATCCTTGAAGAATAAGCGGTAAATCAAGGGTATCACTCTCTCTCAAACGCTTGCAGATTTGAGAGATGATAAAAGAGTTTGTTAAAAGTAAAGAATAACCTTTACTTTTAATATCTTTTATACCAGATGAATCTGGAATGGGAGTGTCTACTTCTTTTCTGAACAACAATTCAAGAGCAGCCATTCTATTCTTGAATTCCAAGTTGTCAGCGTATGGAGCATTGGCTGTTTCGAATAGAAGAGAAACAGCTTCTTCCAACGGCAAATCTTCTTTCAATGACTCACCAAACATTCTTTGGTAAGAGTCGATGACGTGGTTTTTAAACCAATCATCTGGTTCATCAGCAACTCTTGCTCTTTTACCAGAAACCTCTTCAGATGGGTTGGACTCAAACAATTCCATCGAAGAAGCGAGAGCAGAAGCACCTTGTGAACCAACCTTGGCGTTGTTTGAGTCTTTGCCAGGTGATATCTTTTGTTGATTGTTCTTCTTGTTCTTCTTTGTGTCTTGAACAGGAGGAGGTGAAGGCATAGCAGAACTATCAGAAGAATTTGAGGTGGAAGGAGTTAGAACAATGACTCGTTGCTCGCTACCTGCAGAAGGTGAGCTAAGGTCTTTCGTTTTCTTGTTGTTCTTTGGTGTAGTTGGTGTTGGGGCCATTGTGATAATTTTTTGAGCATGGAAAAATACTCAACTTATATTTTATTAAGTTTACAATGAAAACAAGTCCATTCTTCACTTCGCTCAGAATTAGACATGTAATCAAAAAGCAATTTCACTGGACACACTAAAGGATTTTCAAGATGCTTGTCAATAGTCATCGGCTTTTCTAGTAGAAAGAAATCTGTTTTGTGACCACTGAGATCTAATTTGATGTTACCATTTCTAAGCTTTGTAACATAACACCACTTGAGTCTAGCTAATTCACCTGGTCTAGCGAAAAGTCTGAAACCAATGACTAACATGGCACTAGTGAGTTTGAAAATGAAAGGATCATAATGATCTTTTCTCTGAATGAAACCTTCAATATGATGATAGAAAATTGGATCACGTTTCAAAGCTTTTCTATCAATCAAGGACCAAATAAAAATAATTCCTCTTTTAATCTTATCATAAGACCATGAAATTGGAAAAACTCTTCTCTCAATATTGGCCCAAAATTGAAGGGATGGTCTCAAGGCTTCAACACGAGATGTTTGACCTTGAATTGTAAGATAAGCTGCATAATACTCAATAGCATAAGTGTCATCCATTGAAATATTGAATGCAGTAATAAACCATAAGAAACCATTATAGTTTCTAGTGTAAAGTTTGAAGGTTTCTTCCTTAATCGAAACCAACATCCCTAAATCTCTGGTTTGAAGTATAAGTTTCCATCCAGATGAGCAATTATGAACGTCGTTCCTTCGAATTTGTTCCATAATTCGGATAATGGTTTGATTAAAAGCATCCTTGAGAAACAGATAGGTACATTATGTCGTCCAAAATACAAATTGTTGGTCCAGAAACATTTTGGACGAACATGTCCATTCAAGATAAATAATACGGCCCAAACGTATTTTGCTTACTGATTATTGGACGCCCAGAAAATCTCTGGACCAACACGTCCATTTTGAACGTTCAACATCAATTTGCTAGCCCACCCTTAAACAAACAGGCCAGCAACATTTTGTTTGTGCTTTTAATGATGCTCGAAAGATTCAATTCAAGAGATGTTGAGGACAAATTCAAGAAAAAAAATTCTCCAGCAACAAATCCAACAAAGAAATGACAATAAAAACAGGAGAAGTGGAGTTTCATTGATCATTTCCACTTATTAGGTATTTAATTGTGATTTTTCAATGATTTACTCATTAAAAACTCATAAACAAACTTTTTGGACAAATCTTAATTTTACCTTAACAAGTTTTTGGACATCCAAAATCAATTTGTACGTCCTTGCTTATTTTGCTTGTTCAGTCCAAAATGTACCTATCCGTTTCTCCTTCTTGTGATACTTTTTCTCTTCTTTAATAGCTTTAAGAGTAGAGGCCACCAAATCGAGGAGCTCCATTCTGGAATTACAAATGTCGCTATTGATCTGGATTTG